AATATCCGTAGCGGATGTAAGAGGAATCATAGGTGAAAACGTGCATAATTCAGGAGATGAGTATGGATATTTGTATTTTAATAAATCTATATCGTGACGAGGTACAACATATGTTAACTGTACGTGTTCATTATCATCAAGCAATATATTATCAGGTTTTAAGTCAAACACAAGAACTTCTTGCTGATGTAATGCTTCTAGCGCTAAAAGTATTTCAGCAGACCAAAGACGAATTACATTTTCTGGTATTGTCCAAAGTACCTGTTCAGTGTCTACATTACTGTTTTTTGTTGATTCCGTTAGAAGTACATTCCTTTGAATTTGCTGATTATTTGATATGCAATAGGTATTCGTTTCTAGTTGATTATTAATTTCTATTAATTTATTTAATTCGTATTTTTTTTGAATATTATCATTTTTACTCTCTACTGCAAAATATGTACTATCTAAAGAACTTGTTGACTTTTTTCTTTCAAAATGAAGATTTTTGTAACTATTTTTTAACGATGAACTAGCACTGTTATTATTTTGTGACAAGTAATTAGAAGTTATCACATTTCTCTCAGGTATTTTTTCGTTTATAATGGATTCATTCATGCCGTCAATTTTTAATGATATATCATTAATATCTACTGATACTTCATTGCAACTTTTTGATTGGTATATACTGTTTTTAAAATTTAATAACGAAGTACTATTCTCATGATTTATGAAGCAGTCCGATTCACATAAACGATTAACAACCGAATTACTTTCCTTCAAAGTTGCATTAACCGATTGTAACAGTATTTGTGCCTTCTCTAATAATTGCGTAGTAGATACATCGGTATATTTTTCGTAATTTTCTTCTACTGTAATCGGATGTATCTCCATTTGTACTTTGGTATTTGTACTTATAAGGTTTACATTTTCCTTGAGTATAGTGCTTTCAGTTTCATTTACATCATTTTTCCTTAAAGTAATATCACTAACATCGATTGTTTTTTCAGTATCATCTTTTGCAGTTTTTTTATCACAATTTTTATTATTATTGGGATTGTAATGTGATGTTATAAAATCCCACAATCTTCCATGGCTATAATGTAATTCAGTTAGTTTTCAATGAATATCAGATAATAATGTTATTCTTAATACATACCTCAGATGTTGTAGGATCAGGAATACACTTGTTTCTGTTTCAACACATGCATGTAAACGGACCATGTATGGTATTTCACCACGTAATATATAATTATTTATACTTTCTTTATTTGAAGATAACTTTTCTATGGCCTGAAATTATTAAGAGAAATGTTAAATGAATTTACTTTGGTGTTCCATATTTTTGTTGTAATCAAATTACATCTTTAAATTATCTATATAATGTTACTTTTACAATGTTGAAGCAGTTTTGACGAATATCCTTTACAAGCATTACTGACTCTATTATTTTCAATACTTTGTAATATTGAAGTTCTGATATAGGTTTATTTAACACTGAAATATTACAATTTAGATATCTATTATAAAGCTTCTCAGCATGGTCTAAATATTTTGATATCTTTTCTTTAATTTTTTCTGCCCTTTTTTTATTTGTATCAGATTCAACACCAGATCGAAGACTAGAGATTCCCATTTTATATTGAGTAAATGCTTCTTCATACTCTGCAAGGTCTTCATGCTTGACAGCTGCACTCATATGTGCAGATGCAACTAAAATATATTGTGGTGAATCTGTCCATGATTGTGGCAGATCGGAATCTTCATGAGTATTTATTGAAGTGTTTAAATCGTTACTAGTAGTATCAGTATTTATATTAGTGTCTGATGTTTGTACAATTGCAGAATTACTCCTAACATTATAATTTTTATCTTTATAGCAATTGTTATTTTTGTTACAAATTAATTGATTATCTCCTAATTCAGAGACAATTTTATCATTATCTTCTATTAGCAATTTATTATACTTGCTTTTTGCCATAGATACTTTTTTATTTTCAGTTTCATGACTTAAATCATTTTGTGATAAAATTTGTTCTTTGGATTCAGATGCTTCTTGAGACTGCTTTACTTCATTTTTAGTAGCAGATAAATTTGTCAATGAAGTTTGAATACCTTTAGGTTGAAGAATACTTTGAGAAACATTATTTGGCAGAGAATTTATGTAAGTATGACGATCCTCCTCTGCAGATGTATCAGAACTAAGAGATTGAGAGCAATCATTTAAATAATAATCTGCATGACTAGATTCAAAGAACTTTATGAAAATGTCACTAGAGTATAAATACGAATGCCTGCCTATAAATTCTAGAAACTTTAATGCACATTCCCTTCTCTCTTCAATAACTTCAGCTTCAAATCTGCCAAAAAATTTTGGCTTTGGAAATGATGGAAAGCTTTCCTTAATTCGCGATTGCGAGTATAATACATTTAATTCTGAGTGGAGTTTCTTAAAGTCATTATAACGTTTCCATACAGATACTTTAGAAATTTCTTCATGAGAGCTTTTCAAAAATACCTAAAAATATATAAATATATATAGTTATAAATTATGACTCACAACATTTCTATAATTAAATCATAGAATATGTTAATTTATCACAACATGTATTAAAAATGAATTTTAAAATTAATATAATATTAGAAAACCACGAGAAAAAGCAAATAAATGAATTTAAAGATATCTTCTTTGATATTTGATTGTTAATTTATCTGATTATCGGACTGTTTTACTCTATATACATTATATTGATATTTTATATCATACCACAGACGTGACTTTGTAAATAGTAAAGCCTTTCTTATGCCGTGTCGTTTCTGGAATAATAAAACGCCTCACCCATTTGTCTTTAGTGGGTGCCATTGTTTATACACTTTAACTATAAAACCAGAAGCTCAATAAATTGATCGCTTTATCGTTTTAATTTGTGTATTTCTGTCATCATACTTTCATGCATCTGGCTTTTTTCTTCGTTTACGTGGCATGTATGTCGCGAATGATTGATTCTCAATAAATGTCACTTATATATATTTACATTTATTGGTGCGATAAACTAGTTGGTTATAGTAGATGATTGTTTATAACATATGTGGTTTTATTTTTTTTATGAAATTCGTATACTTCCTACGCACTACAAATGAACAAGTGTGGAATTACGAGTTTTTTTTTACTATTTTTGACAATTGCCACAATGAATTAGATTGCAATTCTCAATGCAACCTCGTCTCACTATTTACTATTTATGTATTGCAACTGAACGAAAAAGAACGATTATTTCCACTCAACCCTTTCTTTTTCACCACCTGAGTGGTACTGCGCTTGCGGTGCGATGTTATAGACTTAAGAATAGAACATACATAGAATAGGAATCGGAATAGAAATTGACGTGTAGGACAAAGTAAAGTGATTATCATTGACGTTCTTTAAAAGCTACCCTCTTACAAACATACATATCTGCTTTCTTATCTCCAATGCTAATTTTAGAAGTTGTGAGATTTGTTTATATTTGAACAATCATTAATATTAAACTGGGTTTACAATATGCTGTAGAGAATGCTTTAATGATATAATCTTTTAAAATACAATTCTATGAAATCATGTATTTTACATTATACTATTCTTTGGTTTTTGTAATTCGCAGACGAAATAAAGGATGGACTTAATATCACGTCGTACCTTCAATGCATTTTGTGTCACTATGTGGTATATATATGACACTATATACCACTTTCGTGTCGCATGCGACGTTATCGATCTAATATAGTAGCGGTTTGAATTAAAACTAAAGTCCTCTATGAAATTATAAATAAAATACATATAGTAAGGATATTCTATAATCGCAAATGAAATATAAAATTTTATACTTATACATACTCTTATTTATGGATAACTTAATTATGTCCAATGAATAGGACGAAAAGAACAATGAAAGAGTAAAAAAATCAACAGAAACTTGCTTCTGTGGATAAATACATATATATACTGATCAAGTACATCAACCTTTATGAGTATACTAAAATTGAGACTTAAGATTTGTGTAATGTCTTTCGTGATATCCTGAGCGATGTCTTTTTATACAATGTTTTGCGATATCTTGATATATTCCATGGCGTCTCATGATGGTTGTTATTATTTTATTTCTTGCCTAATGGAAGAGAAAGGAATTTTGGAAACATATCTAATAAAAGATTATATATATAGAAATATATATACATGTATGTATATGGAATATACATTACATACATAAATGCGATAGACTTTGGGCTGCAGATTGCGTAGTTCTTAGGTTGGTATCATTCTTCGAATAGTAATATTGGGAAATATTGATGCTTGTATCCTTTTTCAAATAGTAATATTACGGAATATTAATATTTGGAAAACACGACATAAATTAATACCATTTATCGATAAGATATCTACACTATTACAAAATCTTATGTTTTATCATAATATAATACATAATTTATATGTATATTAAAAAGAATTATGTAATTAACTTGCGTAAAAAATTTTAAATTTTTTCATTTTTTGTAGAATTTTCTATGAAAGTAATTATCGAGAAAATGCAGTATCAGGGTAATAGAACATAATACCAGGATAATACGTACCTGAGTCATCTGTGTTCTTGATGGCAGAAATAGGAATTAAATTTTAAGTTACATCATTTTGCGCGGTGATCTCGTATTGAAAAGTGGAAGTAACTGCAGAGAGTTCGTTATAGATATGGAAAGTTTAATATACATCGACATATTAAATGCTTCAAAATGGTGAGAATCTTAATTTGAATCGTTCTGTATTTACAGTTATTAACATATTGCAAACGGATCTAGTGCTTGAGGTCGATCATGAAAATTGTCATATTTTTATTGTTGTTGTCATATTTAGAGAGAAACAATTTAACTAAATGCTGGGCGTAGTTGGTAATAACTATTATTCTGCTATATGTTAACACAATTTATAATGATTTGTTGTATTGTCATGTAAACATACGAATATGGAAATTTTCAGGAAAATTCGATTAGTATCTGTGTACTGATAGAACGTGATACGTTCCTGAATCAATCGTACTCTGGTGGTAAATTTTGAAATTAAAATTTGAAATTACTCCATTTCGCGCGGTGTCATATTGAAAAGAAGAAGTAACTGTCGAGAATTCGTCGTAAATTCGTCGTTCGTGGAAAATTTAATATACAATACGAAGACATTGGTTTAAAATGGTGAGAATATTCATTTGGCTCATTTTATAATACAATTTATAGTGATTTGTCGTTTTTCCATGTGAATAGAGGGTTATTAGTTTTCGATCAAAATCACCTACATCGAAAGGCGCAAATCACGTATTGTTAGAATGAAATTCTATTCCTTTTTATTTCCTTTGACTTTCTTCTTTCCCTTTATTTTCCTTGATAGTTTATCCCTTATATTTTTTACTTTCTTTTTCTTTTCTTTTATACATCAAATTATGGTAATTAACGAAATATAATTCGATAGTCGTTCGATTTTACGGTAATAATAATTTTACGATGTTTTATTTTAATTTTGTTCGTTTACGTTATATCAATTCGTGCGTGTTTACTTTATATGCGTATCTCCGCATTTCAGTCTGACGTATTGTTTTTTTCTTGAAACATAATATCGGCCTGTTGGAAACATATCCTTTCCAAGAATTCGACGACTCTTGTTCGTACACACTCGACTTACCGGCGACGTCCTCCCCACCCCTCGCCAGCCGAATTCCGTTTGGTAAATCGACACGCGGGGATCATTCTACGGACGAAAATCGGATTGATTAGATGTATCTATACTCTGCAACAAGTGTCCTCTTTCTACTACGTAGTATTTTTTTAGTAATTTTTCTACCAAATTCACGCTACTGCTATGTCTAATTAATGTACGTTTTATTCGTTAATTCATTATAATCTATTAGAATCCATTATTAGATTATCTTTTTTTCTTTGGTCTATTTTTTGTTATCGTATTTACGGGTAGCTTGTACAATGAGCTTTCAGAAGCAACTTTAACCTTAATCGCTAAAACCCAATTAATTGCTTCACTTTGGTATAATTTGTTACTTTTATATACTTATTTTAACGTTTCGGTCTCTTTTTGTGCAGATCATTGCTTGATTGCGAGGAAAATTTGAAGACATTAGAGAAACGCCACGAAATTCGAAAGAACGCCACGGTGTATGATTAATTCGATAGTTTTCTATGCAGATACGGTAACACTTGACTTATTCTAATGAAGGTAAACGTATTTATACGTTTGTTTGTTCTTTCTATTGGACACTTGGTAATATTTATTTAGTATGTAATCGATTCTTAACAAATAATTCGCAATGTTAACACCATTAATACATAATATAACAAAATTATAAATTACTTTATGATTTATTAAGAATACGAAGGTGAAGACACCGTTAACCGCTTCTTATTTCGGATATAGATACATATTAAATTAATTTTTTATTTCAAACATACTAAATGAAATGCTTTATTATTTAACATTAACGTAGAATCTCCAAAATTCTATTTAAATTAAATTAAAATAACTTATATTTTGCTGCATTCCCGCGAATTTTCTGCAATAATATTGTCACCACAATTTTTTTAATAATTCCTATTATTTTCTAGAAGAAATGCTGTTGCAGGTAGGTTTGAAGACATATTTCGTTAGTATAAAATGTATTTGAAACTCTAATAATGGACAAATTGGGTGCATTATGGAATATTGATAGAGATTTGAATAATATTGTAACTAATAACTCCATATTAAATATTTCATATTCTAGTATGATATGTGTGTAATCTATGTAATATGATATTTGTCTGTGGTAAATGAATAATAATTACTTTATAATTTTGAAAAAGCAGTATTTTCATAAATGAACACTGGATAAGAAGAAGAAGAAAAGTAGTATTTTAATAAGAATTTTTTCTTCCAGAAAATTTTTGTGACTGCGCGCAATGCGGTCAGTAAAGTCAGTGTTTGCTGCGTTATATTACTTTTCATATTTTTTTAGAGCGTAATAATTTTCATTAAATTTAATTATAATAATCAGACGCGAAAGTAGAGTCAGTGTGTTCGCCAATTGTCACTTGATTTGAACGGACGTGTTAATAGCCTATTATTTTTCTTCTTTTTTTGTTAAACATTCGCTTTCGGTAGTGGAGTCGCAGGTCTCGCAAGAGGATAAAGCCTCTTGGAGCTCGACGATGTATTTTATTATTCATATTTAGTTTGAATTACTATTAACTTGTATTGAAAAAAACATCAAAGTTCTAATGTTGAGGTATACAATAAAAACATTTAACGTTCAGAAATCAGTAGAATTTCAATTTCTAGATTTTTAATTTTTATGTCAGGGTACCAATTTTTATTTTAACAATTAAGCTGTATTAGAATTTCAATTCTTTTTGTTATTAAAATTTCAAATTTGTATAGAGTTTTGTTTTTCGTTATTTAACATTTTTTAAGAACCAAAAGTCCGTTTTCAGGGACAAATTATAGCATTTCACATGTTTTGTTATAGGTTTTTCATAATTTCCATTTTTTCCTCTTCTCTGGGAAGGATGAAGCGGCACTTCAAATTTGAGCATGTAAGAATCTTTGCACATTGTATTTCATTAATTTTATTCTTTGTATTTCGCTGTAATTACTATTAATTAGAAATTAAAGTCTGATTTTTAATTTTTTTATTAGCATTCCAATTCCTATAGTAACTAGAGTTTATTAGGAGTTTAATATTTTTGTTATTAAAGTTCTGTTTTTATAGAATTTCATATTTTATTATGTCAGATTTTTTTATTAATCTTCAATGTGCTTCTCAAAATAAATTATAACAATTCATATTTTGTTAAAGGTATGTCACTCCTTCCTGTTCTTCCTGTTCCCTGGAAAAGACTTACTTGTGCTTCAAAACCAAAGAATGTAAGTAACTATTTATTTTGTGCTACATTTAATTCAATTCTTTATATTCTACGATAATTATTATTCATTAAAAAATAAAATCTGATTGAAAATTTGACAAGTTGAACATTTTTCATTCTTGAATTGAATATTATTACTAAAAATTTTTATTTAACAGAAATTAGTCTTTTATTTTAAATAAAAACTTTTAAAGTAATTAACACCATCATTACGAGTAAATTAAAATATTCTATGTTTTGTTACAGTTTTCTCCCATTGAATTCGGTGATTCCAATTTGATGATGGCTTGATGACGAACTCCCTTGGATCAGAACAATATCGAGGACAACATTCTTCACATCTAATCGTGAGTCGCATGTATTTTTATTCCTGCGGTCTCTCAATCATGTCGAAGGATGAAAGGTCCGAATCGACACGGGTGATTGGCTGTATACGTAGAATTTTTGACGAGCATAGTGACTGCGGGTATTTATTGTACTCGTGAGTAGTAACATTTTCTTGTCTATCATACAAGATACATATTATAGAAGTGTACAATTCTGTATGTAGGTACTTCATTTGTAAGATGTGTTCTGTTCGATTTCTTATTTGTAGTTTCATAGGAAATTTTTGTTTCGGTTCAGGCCACTACTATGCTGAATCGATAACGTTGCATGCGACATAAAAATGGTATAAGAGTAAAATTACCTCAAAAATATGGGGTGTGAAGAAGCATTGCATATCAGGTCTATTCTATACCTCGTCGGTGATTAGAACCACAGTTAAAAACGACAGACGATCTCGTTCTTAAATAATAATGTGGGTTTACGTACACATGGTACGACAGTTTCATGGTGCAATCGATTGCTTTCAATGAGATACAATTTCGCTTCTAGATGGCGCAACAATGTTCTGTCTATGAGATTCGCATCTTTAATTATTCTTATATCTAACAATAAATTTACATGTTAAACAAGGGGGGGTGCATATGCTCTATGAAGTATATATAACTTGTAATTAATATTTTCTTAATGCGGCGATTGAATAAGATAAATACATATTTCGTATATCATTTTTTGGCTATAATCGAATTCAAAAACAGAGTAAGTAATTTAACTCGAATTTTTAAAATGATTACTAAATGACAAGTAACATGCATAAAAGTAACGTCATATTCTGTATAAATTGTATTTAAGATTTTCATTGTTTAAACTTATTCAAGTCATCATATCTATCGAACGATAATAGTATAAAATTAAAGACTACTTAAGAAAGGAAAGGATTACTTTAGTATATAATGATTATTATTATACGTATACAACGTTTCATAATCTATTAATACATGTTCGTTATATCGTTATACATTTTAGGATTTTATTAGAACTTTGGTATTCAATAAACCTTGTCTTCCACCGTGAAATTATGTATGGTATATAACCATATCTGTTCTTCAAATTGCAGTTGGTAGTCGATGCACTTTGTAGACATTATGCAAAAAAATGTACGCCTGTTAGATGAATAAATATGTATATTCCGTAACGGCCATCCTTTTGTCCTTCGTCGTACTCCCTTCGTTGTACTCGCCACCTCATTCCAGATCTTATAAATTATTTATTCTCGACGAAACCTGTGCGCTCCCACCGCTAAGACGATTACTTTAATTAATGTCGATCGTTATCGGTGACTTGAAAGCCAGAAGGGTAGGAGTCACGTCAACGAGATGCTTTTAAATTCTAATACGGCGAAGCGACGCCACGATCGCATCCCCCGTCCCATTTGCGGGATTCCTTCAGGACACGGTGTTTCCTGTCTATTTCTGTACCGTAAACGAATCGATTTTAAGGTGTCACTATTCACCTACGTTGAAATACTCTCTTACTTTCTTTCACTTCCCTTTCTACTTCACTCAAATATTTCTACGTAAAACCAATAGCTTGTGTTATGTTTTCTTATTTTTCTCATTTTAATTTTACACCATCACGAAGCACTTTACTTGTGGCTTTCATAGTCGACAGAGTCTACTTTCAGTCTGTTGATTACTTTCAATTTCTTGTTTAATTCTATAGGAATAAACTTTGTTGGTCGAACGAGAATTTATGTTTGATCTTCTGTTTACTATTTAAATTAATATTCCCTTTATGGTGATCAAAGTAATCACGTACATTGAACTTTTTTTTTAAGTTTATGAATTTTATCGAAGAATTTTCTAAATTTTCCTCCTCATATCAAAGAGAATTCTAGCACGTGAACGTAAAATGAAATAACATAAATTTTTATATTCCATATGAATAAGTGTGTACTGATAATTATAAAATCGGTTGACAAAAGTTGACAGAAGTTTCTCGTTGAAAGGTGGTTGTTCGTATATGAAGGCCGTGGGATGCGATTTAACAGAATACCGCTTTTAATTTGATGGGGATTGAAGGATGTGTAGATGTAAGCTGCAATTTCACGTGGAGCTTTCTGCTCGAGGCTGGTCCGTCTGGAAATCTGCACTTACAATCGACCACATTTACGGTATTACGGCTTACTGCAAACGGAGAACCGTGAATGCCATTTGGAAATCATTGCCGATCGGACAGCCAGAGAACTGGTTGTAATACTCTTACGAGAACGACACAAAGTGAAAGGATCCCCCGGTTTGGTCTGTTTGAAAAGGTCCGGTTCGTCCTTTTTTCCTTCGTTTATACCGAAATATGTATTTCTGATATCATATTGAATTTGTCTCATAAAACGTACCTACAGAAACCATATTGATTTCTGTTCAACCTATTGTCCTATATGTTTGTCGATGAGGTTGAAGCAATATTTAATAATAAAATTCATCTTCTGTAGTATCATCTTATATTTGATAAAGTGTTTTTCAATTTGTTTAACTAACTCTCTATAATATTGAACGTATGGTTGGGATTATGTCTCCAATTAAATAGAGACAGATTCTATTTTTAGGGAAGTTTACTTTGATCTGTAATTTTAATTTCAATTTTTTTTTTACTGAGGATTATTATATTCAAATTACAATTACGATGTCTCTAGTAGTAGTAGTAGTATTTATTTGTTTCAGCTTCTACATATCTTATAATCGTACTATACTTTAACATTCTTACATTTTAATATTGTAGTCTTTCCCCCATTCATATGTATATTACTTTTGCACATATCTTTGGTTTCGTACGTTAAGTGTTTATTTACATTTCCTTTTACATTCTTATCTACTTGTTTATTTCATTGTTCTTATTTACATTCCTTACTTATTTGCCCACGTCCCATCTCATACTTCTCCTTCTCGATTTCTTGCACCTATCTCCTCGCCATTTTCAAACTCCTATACCAGTCTATAACTTTTGTGCGATATGTCTCTGACAATAGCTCCTGCTTCTTCAAATGTACTCTTCCGAGCTTTGTGCATTCCTTTAATAAGTGTTTCAGTGTTCCTTGGCTTTTTTTTTTACCAAGTATATATCTTCTTCTCTCTTCACTCAACCAATATTTATTATATTTCTCCATATCCCTACATCTCAATCTCGCTTATCGTACAATTACTTTGTGCATTTATTCTTTTCTTATCGTATGTAGATAATCTAGCAATAAAACTGTTACGTGTCTATATATATGTATATTACGATACCTGTATATTCTTTAATTAATATGCTGAATATGTAACGTTCACTTAACACTTCATGCGAAATTTCATCCATTAAATTCATCTGCTCCGAACTTTTATTTTTATTGAAAAAAGTCTCGAACATTTAACTTAACGAATGATTATACAATTGATAAGAATCTTAGCGCTTCCTCAAAGTTTTTGGAAGCTCAGACTAGTGAAAACGTTAGGCTTGGACATAGTTGAATCGTACTGCGTATGCGTTTATTGAGGAACTCGATTTAGGAATTCGAATGCGCTATTAAAAATAACACTTAATACTCATCATGAGTGTTTAAAATCTAAAAGTGTGAAAAATTAAGCCGGTACACTTATTTACATTGTGTGTTCTTCAGTCATTTTGACGGGCCTCGTATGACATCGCGTTTTCTTACGATCATCAACTTTCGCAACCGAATATTCAGCGGCGTGATAAAAAGATGATGGGGTGGAGCGACGAGGATATCGGGCGAGGAGGGTAAAAGCGTTTCCATTTAATTACAATCGATCGAAGTAGGCGAATCGCCTTCAGTGGCATTAACGTAGTCGAGACGGTGGTTTTATAGACGGTCAGCCAGGGGTAGTTCGTAGACCAACGTTAAAACCACCACTCAAATTTGCAGAACTTTTTATTTCCACCCTCCTCGAACCTTCTTACCGACTGCTACCTCAGTTCTCTCTTCGAAAGGGTTTAAAATCGCAGACGTTTCCTATCTTCTTTATTTTTTTCTTTCTTCTCTCTATACCCTTTGTACCTTTTTTCCCCTCTTCTCTTCTTCACGTCATTTGGTTAAAAGAATTTCTCCTCTTCATTCCTTTCACATGCTCTTTTGCCGGAAACCAACACAAATGTTTGATCTACTTGATGCACTGGGCGTCTTTAACCATCTCTTCTCATCGTTCTCGGTTTCGAATATTTCTTCATCTATCTCTACCACATCAGGCTGAAATCTCGTGTCCTTTTGTGCCTCTCTTTTTTCTCTTCTCTTTACCAGAGGGTTAAAACGCGTATAGTTCGATATTTCGAGAATTTCTTCTTTCTTTCTCGAGCGAGGTCGCTCGTATTTTTTTCGCCCTGAAGCATA